TCCCAAATCGAAAGTGTAAAAAACCCTTCGACCACGAGGAGTGCATTCTTTTACTTGGGGACCATACGCTGCTTTTCATGGAATGGTACTACTGTGTCACATTGAAGGTTCCATGATAACCGCCGTATGAACACATCTGCGGATGTTTCTAAATTCAAAATTTCACCGTTTTCGTGTTAAATGTTGAATTCTGCTTAAGCCGGTGCTAGGGGGCGTGGACGGTAACTTGCATTTTCCAGTACTGTCCATGAACAGGCTCAATCAAACCGAGCCTGCAACATTTTCAATTTTGTCGTGTTGGGCTTTCTTTAGGGATTCTGTTTTACTATATTTTATACTACAAGCCTGAAGAATACCATATATTATTCTAAATTAGAGTTTGTAACCCTTATTAATTTCGATATATTTTGTTCACGGTAAACCTGTTGTTTAACACTGAAGTAAATAATCATGGAGCTGAATATAAGCATGTATATCTATAAGAATAACACAATATTAGAAATCTTCGACCAATCGGGAACTATTGTTTCGTTACGAAAATTAATGCGCCTGTCATTTGACAATCTTTACGCAGTGATCTCCCCTTAATTTTTCGGCGTTAATGTACATATGAAGGGAAGTAACCGCTTCGAGGAAATTGGACTATACTTTCGGCATTAAATTTGCAAATAAGAACATCAGAGTCTGAAATTTCGCTACCATTATTAATTTTGTTTGGTCTGACGACCCAAACAAATAAAATACTTCACAGGTGTCAAGTGCCATGTGGCAGCTGTAAAAAGTTGCCCCGTACTTCACTTCAGTGTTGTTATATATTTTTCTGGTCCATCGATCGGGATCATTGATGCCAGCACTATTAATTTAAGAACTGAGTACCGCTCAAGCCGGTGCTTGGGCGTGAGGGATGTTGCACTTATTCATCTTCCCTAATGTACAGACTCAATCAAACCGAGTCTGCAATTTTCATGTAATTTTGTTGTGAATTATGCTTCCGAGAGATCACTTTGTTTCCAGATTTTTAAGAAAAGAAAAAAGATTAAAGATTCAAGTAATAATTTACATGTTGTTTGCAATTAATGAGTGATTTTGTGGTATTTATTACCATATTCCTTCCGCGTGATTTACGCAGTAAATAAAGACTATTTGTGTGGTTTTCAATGCATTGTTCATTTCACAAAATTTTAATTTTAAATACATTTTGTAAATTATTACGAAAGTTGCTAGCTTGAATCTTAGAGGGATGCCGCTAAAATAACCATCTTAACCACACGTCTTCTTAAAACACAAGTGATAAAAAGAATAACCGCATACATTGTGTGTTTGATGGGCAAGGTTTTATCTGAAAATATTTGCCATTTGTTAAGTTAAGCAATTATTGTGATTGCTTTAAACACGGTTGAACCCACCACTAACATTTATACGTTCCCTCTTATTCGTAATTATATACACATTGCTGATCAAGAGATACTTAAAAAAACAATATATAGATGACCCTAGGAAAGTATCTCTCTACGACACTTCATATCAAAAATACATGTAGAACTAGGGTTTTTCTTACGGAATATAAAGTTCTGTTATTCAATCATCATCTAGATACAGGCCGCAACAATGTCGTTCTCAAAACAGGATCAGATATTTTTATTTTTCATGGTTTTAATAGAATTTTGCCAAGGTATGTTTGTCATTTATATAAATTATTATAAGCACTATCATCTTTTAAATCAAAAATTTTTTTATAACGCAATCTAAGATATACTTGTACAAGGTTAGCTTTTAAAAAAGCTAGTAGCGACTCGCTTCGTAATTTTTTCAAGGGGTGTGTTTAAATGTAAAAATGACAGTTCTGTTAGCTGAAGAGACTTCAGCGAACATCAAAATAAAAGTGAAGTCAACACTGGCCCGGTGCCCGATGGCCAGTGTATATAAGTTCAGGCCAGTGTAAATTTAAGAAAATTTTGTTAATTATTTAGTAGAATAAATTCAAAACTGGAATTCGGGCCAGTAAATTCAAAATCTTAAACTCATTGACTGAAAGTGACATATAAAGTTCTCTCAGTTTAACCAAGATGAGTATGAGTATATATGAAGGTGCATGTAAACATATAGAATGAAGAACCTATGTCTATGCACATTTACTATATGACCTGTTGACCTTGACCACAAAATGTTAGATAGGTAGATTTCATAAAGATGTCTCTTTATACAAAATTAAGTTGTAATACATGTATTTTATTTAGTATTGGAATAAGAGGCACAAGTCCTAAAGTAAAACACAAGTTGTCAATCAATTCAGCCAGAAAAGCCGGGATCCTATTAAAAAAATATAGGGATCCCGGAAATTGACCAGTCTAAGAAGATGTTTTTCAGATAAGCCGGGATCCTATTAAAAGATATAGGATCCCGGAATTGACCAGTTCAAGAATATAGTTTTCAGAAAAGCCGTGATCGTATTAAAATGTAAAATAGATCTCACGGATTGGCCAGTTCAAGTATATAGTTTTCAGAAAAGCTGGGATCGTTTAAAACATATAGGGATCCCGGGATTTGACCAATTCAAGAAATAGTCTTTGATTTTTTCCAATTAATTAGGCATATAATTATAAGTATTGTGATTTCCGCATTTTAAGTTTGTTAATAAATAGCTCTAAATATATCTATATTCTAAGTTAAATTAATTTAACGTTCATTATATACAATAAAAAAATTAACGTTTAATGGCCTTTCATTACGACAACAATCAACACAAATATAGTTCATTAGGTTTTTCCTCCATATCTTTTACCATCCCGGATCCCGGGCGTCCCGGATCCCGGCCAGTAAATACATACACTAAATACGCGAAAGGATAAAAATGACCGGAAAAAGGGGAAAAATAAAAAATGCACAGAACCAGATGTACACTTATGTTAATTAACCAAACGAAAACTTACTACAGAGAAAACAGGTGAAATCGCTAAATCAGAAGTCAGTGTAAATATGATTTATTGAAAAGAATTCATAAAGACAAACATTTTAATCATCATTATATCTTTGCGCTCAAAACAATACTTGCTGATTTTTAAAAATGGCGTGAAAATTGAAGGTTTTTTGACGCTATGTAAGATTAAATTTGATTGGCTAAATAATTTTGGATCCTAGCCCTGATAGATAAATTTTGTAGAAAGCTGGAAGCCAAGCGTCGATTAAATTTTTGGATGGCTTCGGAGTTTTAGGTTATTTCTCAGTAAAATCCTACCGTAATACCGGCTCGCCGTGGCGAGCCGGCACAATATTGGAGCAAAAGGAGATTAAAGAAAATATTTTGTGGTGATAACTATTGCCTCTGACACCTGCGCATAGGGCTTATATCGTGAAGTAAGGAAGGGGGGGTTTCTCCTGGATCCCGACCACCAAGTGAGGATCTATAGGTTCAGGAGTGCACCTGGCACGAACTGGGACGCATATCGTCAAAGAGAGACCTTGCTGAAGCTTCTAAGTCTCAGTTTGTGCTCTGGTTGGGTTCAGGCCCACGAGAGAGCGGTTACATTATGGTAACAATTCTGTACAAGGTTACTGGTTATGCATGCAGACGCTTTCATAATGCATACTTTTAATTGAATAGATCATACTACTTTGGAATTTGGTATATCTAGTATATCTATGAGTTTGAAATAGAAAATACTTGGTAAATAAAATATTTCATTCTAATAACTCTCTTGAACAGGACCTACACTTTCCATTAAATCACAGTGAACCCCCCCCCCCCAGTCCACTTTCTGTGCCTCCTTTCTGATCTTCTCTTTTTATTCATTTATTTCTTTTATTATTTTTTCTTTGTCTATTTTATTTATTTTTTCTCATGACGAGAAATTATTTAAATTTTATCTAGGCATTGTACATATCTTACACATTGACATGCTCAACTCCTCTTTATGATCCTTTACAAGTTACTTCTTACGTAGTACCGGTAGTTATTTATCGTCTTCTTGTAAATGAATGTAAAGAACTAACTGAATTAAGGTATATAAAAGCTATATTATGTTGTTACTAAAATAACTTGTTGAAATGTTTTTACAGGAGAGAGTTTCATATAAGCTTTAATCTTTCTACTCAATCCTGGTTTGCAATATGTGTATTGAACATTTGTTCGAAAATATGGAAGAAGAAATCAATATTGTTTAAACGAAAGAAAATATTTATGCAAATTAAATTTGAAATATTTTAGATAATTTCTATATATATAGGATATCCGACAGAAAATAATCATGTAGTAATCATGTAGTAATCATGTAGTTTAACGATGTGATTCTAATTTTGTAAAAAAAAGAATAGTCATGAAAAGTGTGCGATTAGCGACTTGATCTATATAAGATTTGTGGTATAACTCAAGAGACACAAGAATAATTATCTGATGCACCGGAGACAATGTGCAAGGATGCACTATAAATAGAGATGACCACTGGTATCATGACACAGTAGCCATTCGGTTAGCTCATGAGGAAGAGCGTTCGACTGTGAATCGGGCGACCCGGGTTCGATTCCCGGACGGCGCAGGTCACTTTCGTTGTGATTGATCCTTTCTACGGTCATTCGAACCGTACCTCTGCTCTGGCATGTACAGAAGTTTCAGTTCCTTGCGAAAGTGAAGTTAACTAATACTGGTAAACTGCTTGGCAGTCTGTCAAGGAACGATGCGGCGGTTAAACTGTGCTCTGGTGAATTTAATGTGGCTTACTGCCGTGATCCGGAGTAAAAAACTATTAACACCACCACAACTATCATGACACAGTGCTTCTCATCATATAACATAACATGTAACACTTTGCATATATCAATTTTATCTCTTTTTGATGCAAAATGTGTCAAACGGAGGCTAACCTTGTTAATACACATTATAATCCATAGTTGTTTAAGTGCAGTCTTACTTTTTTATCTTTCTTTTTTTTTTTTTTTTTTTTTTTTTTTTTTATTCATCTTTTTTTGCAGAAAATAGCCAACAGTGGCTTAAACGGTACGTACATTATTATGAAGTTTAAAATTGTAATTCTTCATTTTGGTTGCAGACAACAGTCAAACAGAGGCTATGTCTGTCAGTAGTACAACACACTTTGAGTATCTTTTTGATTCCACGACAACCGAGAAATGGCAGTCCAGCATCAATTCCGGAGGATTTGGTAATAAATCAACCACGACAACCGAGAAATGGCAGTCCAACATCAATGCCGGACGATTTGGTAATAAACCAACCACGACAACCGAGAAACGGCAGTTCAACAACAATGTCGTATACGTACGAACTAGTAACAAATCAAGAACAGCAGGTAAGATAGAAAGCCATGGCTTTCTGATATTGTTCTTTTTCAATTTATTTAACCATTTGGTTCACTTTGACTATATATGAATTGAAAACACCTTCTTATTTTTAAACCGGAATCCATTATATTAATCCACAGTTACAATATATGAAACCATACCGTCAGTGTATGAAAACGAGATAGTAATATATAAGTTGATTTTATCAATTATATATGATTCCAGTTCTTCAATATATTGTACCGCAGTAGCCATGTATGGAACCAGATGCCCTTATATGAAACCGAATCATCAATATATTAATTCATGTTACAATATATGAAACCAATTTATCAATTTATGAAACCAAAGTAGAAATATATAAGTTGGTTATCACATTATATGATACCAATTCTTCAATATATGGTACGAAAGCAGCCATATATGGAACCAGATATTCATATATTGAACCGAATAATCAATATATTAATTCATTTTACAATGTATGGAACCGAAGTAGCAATGCATTAGTTGATTATGAAATTTTATGATACCAATTGTTCAATTTATTGTACCAAAGTAGCCATATATGGAACCAGATGTCCTGATATGAAACCGAATTTTCAATATATTAATTCATTTTTTCAATTTATGACACCAATTTATCAATGTATGGAACCAAAGAAGCAATATATGACTTGATTATCACTTTATATGATACCAGTTCTTCAATATATGGTACCAAAGTAGCCATATATGGAACCAGATGCCATTATATGAAACCGAATTATCAATATATTTCATTTTTACAATATATGAAACCATTTTATTAATGTATGGAACCAAATTTGCAGTATATAAGTTGATTATCACATTATATGATACCATACAATTTTCATTATATGGAACCAAAATAGCCTATTTTCAAGTCAACAAGTCAAAGGCCAAGGTCAATGGGTTCTGTTATTACAATGCATATACTCGTACTTTGCATGAAATCAATAATTATTTGACTTTTGTAAGTAGATTAATCTTTATGTGTCCTACTGGCCATGCTTATTTTTTATCAAAGGTAAAGGTCGAGATGAACTTATTTTTTAAATATGTTTTTGTTAATGGTCGGTGAGACTCAGTAGCTTAAATTATGATTTTGAAACTTTACATACATATATAACTACATTGTATAAGTTTTGCCTGCCCAGCCCATTTTAAGGTCAAAGTGAATGTGACGTTAAATTCAAATAATTCCTTTTTAGCTTGATACGGACATAAGGAACATAGCCTATTATTATGATCAATTGCCAAATGTCTGCCGATTTCAATTGGTAACAGGTGATTCATTGTTCTAAATTTACATAAATATTTGCCTATACATCTAGATATTTTTCAAAACAATGAGTAGTTATATATGTACGATACACTAAACACTTAGAGGATGTATCAATAGTACTATGCCAATCTTGTAAAAATTGATCTTGTAGTCTAAGCTTCACAATATTTTTAAAGTGATTAATATTATCTACCTTCTGTAAATGAAAATATTCTGACATGCCAAGATTACCAAGTGTTTCTTTCACAAAATTTATCCATTTAGAATTAACAATATTCCTAGAGGACAAAAACAACATTGTTTTATAAAGAAGTTTACATATCTTATTTTCCTTAATTAGCATTAATAATTTTACTCCAGAAACACAAAACTCTTGCTTTCACTTGTAAGGCTAATGGGAATATGCCTTACTCACCATAAACCATACAATTAGGTGTAGAAGGTTTTAAATTCAAAATAAATTTACAAAAATACAACTGAAATTTCTCTAGAATTTGAACTTGTTCGAATCCCCAAACTTCACTTCCATAACGAAAGGATAGGTACAACCATAGAGTTAAGTAAATGTAGTTGCAAAGAAATTGGTAAACATAATTTACGTGACTTTTGGATCACAGAAAATATTCCTCTTCTAGCATCAACAAGATTTTGTTTCTATTAAAAATTTACCATTATAATTAAAAAGTACACCAAGATAAGTAAAGTTATCTACTAAATCAAGCTTTTTACCATTGTACATAAAACCAAATTCATCCTTTTGTTTTGACTTACTAAAAACCACTACTTTAGTCTTAGCTTCATTTACAACAAGATTCCATATATTACAGTAATCACTCATAGCATTTAAGGCATTTTGCAAATCAGTTTTGCTTTCTGCTAAAAGTACTGTATCATCAGCATATAACAAAAGAAACAATTTAACATAAACATCAATGACATCGTCACTAAGACATTCACGAGTTGCGTTAGAGATATTGACAAGTCCTGTGTATTTATTAGATACAAATTCTGACAAATCGTTCAAAAAGATAGAAAAAAAAAATTGGTGAAAGATTTTCACCTTGACGTACACCGGTAAAACTACTAAAGAAACTAGTCAACTCACAGTTTACCTTAACACAAGATTTAGCCTTACTGTACATCAATATTTCCATCAATATTATGTGACAAAAGTTTGTGCCATAAATGAAATCGATTAACAGAATCAAATGCCTTCCTATAGTCAACAAATGCACAGTAAAGCTTTTTATTACAACTTAAATAATAACCAATTAACATCTTTAAGGAAAACATATGATCAGTGGTACCATATTGTGATCGGAACCCTAAGTAAATTGTGGCATTCCAAATACTCATTCAGTCTATTATTTAGTATATTGGTAAATAATTTGCCAAAACAACTTAATATGGTAATCCCTCTATAATTGTTGGGATCAGATTTGGCACCCTTATTTTTACATATAGGATTAATAATACCCTGACTCCAAATATCAGGAAAAATACCTGAATCCAAAATTCCATTAAACAATAAACAAATAACATTTAAAACAGATTCATTTTTTACATTTTTTAGAATATTCATTAAATATATTATCAAACACAGACGGACTTTTATTATTTTTTATTTTTTTACAACTTTTTTAATTTCCTCAACAGTTATATCTGCATTTAAGAAGCTATTAATACAACTTATATTCTCAAGATCTAAATCATCTAAATTGTCAATATCTAGATCAGATTCATTTAATTTAACAAAATGTTCAAAAAAGACTTCTATTGAAATATTATTTACAGTATCCCTGCTATCCGTGCAGTATCTATTTAACAAATTCCAAAAAGCTTTTGGGTCTGACGACTTTAACCCAAGTATCTGTTTATTAATATTATCTTGGTAAGGCTTAATTTTCTTGTTTATCATCTTTTTATAAGATTTTCCACTAGACACCATTGATTGGAAGTTAGTATCAGTCTTATTTCTTCTATAATAAATCTTATCTGACAAGTATGTTCTTCTTGCTACTTTACAATCATCATCAAACCACTCTTTCCGACGTGATTTCTTACGTCTTTTAGTACGTTTTTGTACAGTATTTTTCACATCAATAATCAAGTGACAGCTATCAGCAGCATTATAAAATAGTTGAGAAACTTTCTCAGTAAAGTTATTAATAGCATTATCACAATAAGTTTTACTTGTCAATAATTCTGAGATTTCTACTTGTAATACAGAAACACTGTCTAAATCAAAACTATTTTTAACTAGAAATGTGTCCATAGGACACGGGTGCCCCCACCGCGCCACTGTTCTGTCAATCTTTTTACTAAGTCAAGGGAAATAACTCTACAAATACTGGATAAATCCACAAGCGAAACCCCAGGTGCAAATCTAAATATGCTGAGCAACTTGCCCGTAAGGTTAAATGAATATGTCAAATCCTTTTTGAGTAACTTACGACACAAGTTGAAAATTGCAAAAATTTTCTAAGTGAAGGGCAATAACTCTAAAAATACTAAATAAATCCAGACGAAAATACCTGGTGCACAACTGCACATGCTGATCAATATTCCTGTAAAGTTACATGACTCTAGGTCAAATACTTTTTGAGTTACATGCGACACATGTTAAAAATTGCAAAAATTTTACTAAGTCAAGGGCAATAACTCTGAAAATACTAAAAATATCCAGACGAAAATACCCAGGTGCACAACAACACATGCTGATCAACATTCCTGTAAAGTTTCATGACTCTAGGTCAAATACTTTTTGAGTAACATGCGACACAAGTTGAAAATTGCAAAATTTTACTAAGTCAAGGGCAATAACTCTGAAGATACTAAAATATCCACACTAAAATACCCAGGTGCACAACAACACATGCTGATCAACATTCCTGTAAAGTTTCATGACTCTAGGTCAAATACTTTTTGAGTTACATGCGACACAAGTTGAAAATTGCAAAATTTTACTAAGTCAAGGGCAATAACTCTGAAAATACTAAAAATATCCAGACGAAAATACCCAGGTGCACAACAACACATGCTGATCAACATTCTTGTAAAGTTTCATGACTCTAGGTCAAATACTTTTTGAGTTACATGCGACACAAGTTGAAAATTGCAAAATTTTACTAAGTCAAGGGCAATAACTCTGAAAATACTAAAAATATCCAGGTGCACAACAACACATGCTGATCAACATTCCTGTAAAGTTTCATGACTCTAGGTCAAATACTTTTTGAGTTACGTGCGACACAAAAGTGAACGGACGGACGAACGGACGGAAGGACGGACAGACTGACGGACGGACTGACGGACAAGGGTAAATCTAAATGCCCGCCACTGACGTGGGGGCACAAAAACACATCATGCACAGCTTTATCCCATATGGGTTTTTAGTTATATATGCTATATTGTATTCTTACATTTTTCAAGGAAGTTGAATTCATAGTGATCATCCGGCCATGACCGACGCATAACCGCCGCGAGTGAAAAATATAATAGTGCTCTGTATTTCTGAAAACTTTGATTTATTGCGAATAGAAGAGGAGATAACAAATTTATTTTTTGAAAATCATGTGCAATTTAGCTTGAATTACGGTATTAGAAATGTAGCGGATATAATTTGAAGGTCGAGTAATTCTATGAATGGAGATAGTAATTGGTTTAGGGATTGACGGCTCGCAATATTCCACTTACTCATCATAGGAACTCGAGAACGGGACCGCAGATTGCGGCGCATATTTTCGATCGTGTAACGGTTTTTAAAAACGTTTCTGCTACATCTAAATATCTTTAAGTATTATCCGAGCATATGGCCTCAAACAATATATTATCACTTGAACCCAATCTGTTACTTTTAAAACTGGTCAAATTTTACGGTATTATAAAAAAACAATATACCGTAAATTTGACTGATTTTTAAATAAGCAGATTATATTAAATTGAGATAAGATAATTAAAGACCATCGGCTCGTATAATATAAAAAGATATTCAAAGGTTGGACAAACAATATGTAAAGCTGGTACGGATTCGGATTTATGCGCCGCAATATGCGGTCCTGTTCCAGAGTGAGAAGATAATTAAAGACCATCCGCTCGTATAATATAAAAAGATATTCAAAGGTCGGACAAACAATATGTAAAGCTGGTACGGATTCGGATTTATGCGCCGCAATATGCGGTCCTGTTCCAGAGTGAGAAGATAATTAAAGACCATCCGCTCGTATAATATAAAAAGATATTCAAAGGTCGGACAAACAATATGTAAAGCTGGTACGGATTCGGATTTATGCGCCGCAATATGCGGTCCTGTTCCAGAGTTCCTATGTTAAATTGAGAAGATAATTAAAGACCATCCGCTCGTATAATATAAAAAGATATTCAAAGGTCGGACAAACAATATGTAAAGCTGGTACGGATTCGGATTTATGCGCCGCAATATGCGATCCTGTTCCAGAGTTCCTATGTTCCTATGTTAAATTGAGAAGATAATTAAAGACCATCCGCTCGTATAATATAAAAAGATATTCAAAGGTCGGACAAACAATATGTAAAGCTGGTACGGATTCGGATTTATGCGCCGCAATATGCGGTCCTGTTCCAGAGTGAGAAGATAATTAAAGACCATCCGCTCGTATAATATAAAAAGATATTCAAAGGTCGGACAAACAATATGTAAAGCTGGTACGGATTCGGATTTATGCGCCGCAATATGCGGTCCTGTTCCAGAGTTCCTATGTTACTCATCCGTACCTTATCATCACATTTTTTGTATGATATTTCAGAAATTTTGAAAAAGACAATTTTGATCGAATAAATTTTGTAGTTTATAATTGCAAATTGAATATTGAAATAGAAATAGCTAGAGATGCCTATACTGTAGATGAATCTTTCAACTTTCGGTTTACTTTATGACCTACTTGACAAGCATATCAGCCTGTTTAGCCCATAAGGTAAGTTTTAAAGCAAAATATGTTATGAATTTGATGAAAAATAAATATTAGTTTATTTATTGATGTCAATTCGTTTCCGAACCTAAACTTTCGTTAATAATTTCGAAGTAATTTGACAGATCTCGAGTCTTTCGTCACCAAGACATTTCGACCAGTTTCAATTTTTGGACTGCAAAACCGACAGATTTTACAAATTGATATTACACAGATGTCTGCCTTTACAGGGAAAACCGGCATATACGCCTACAATGTGTTGGTCTTGTCACGGCCGTAACGTCTCTGCCAAATGGGACACATTCTTAAATATTTCAGAATAACTTTATTTTTATCTTTCATGTTTATACATTAAGTTATTCAATGAATAAAGAGAATAGAAAAAAAATGATTTAACCCTCAATATGAGCCATTTAGCTGTTAAGTTTAAATTTAGCCCCTGCAAATACTGCCGGTCTTGTGTAATTGAGACATTAGAGGTAGAAGCACTGTTCTATTATTTCTGACTAAACTTTTATTGATTGCTAATTGATTCTTCATACCCACAAATTACAAACGAGCATTATTGTCATTTTTTATTTTAACCTCACCACCTAGTGTTTTCCCCTTTTTACAGCCGAATAAAGGCTGTTTAACCTAGCCCAAAATAGGTATATTTTCCCCTGAAAATGCTAATATTTTCCCCTAAAACCCCTGTGCACATTCTTCACCAGAACGATGACTTAACATCAGCTGACTTATATCAGCTAGAAGACAGAAAGCTGTCCCTATAGATAGCCTCTGCTATTACCATGCATGTTAAAGGAACTCCACTGAGGTTTAAAAGCCTAAAAACATAACATTTGAATTTTTTACATAAATGAGCTGGGGCACTTTAAACAGAAATATATGCAAAGATAGAACTTTAAGAAATATACTTTGAAATAAATTGAATGTATTTTTATGCTTTTTTAGCCCGATTTGAGTGAAAAGCGTCTAAACGCTTTTCATTTTCCCGTACCAAAATTCCAGCCGTAAAGTAGCAGGAAAAGACACGGAAATTGGACGTAAAACTACTTTTCCAGGCGTAAAACACACGTAATTTTTTAAGAGCAGGAAAAATATGAAAAGTATGGGCGTAATTTTCTATTTTTTTTACGGCTGTGACGTAAAATTTGACTTAGAATTTTGAGGTGTTGTAAACTGAATCAAAAATGCTTAAGTTCCATTTCACGCCCGTAAAATAAAATTACTGCTGTAAATGTGTACTTAAGTTTTTTAGTTAGAATCTAGACATTAAAAAGTTGACCCAGAAAATGCATTCATCTGGATATAGTTTGTTGCTACTCCTGTGAAAAGTTAACGTTAATCTTCAATAAGTTTGACCTTGGTCTCTTCTTCTAATGGGATTTGTCTATTTAATATTAGTGTAAACTGATACTAGTACTTATGCCTTTCATCTTATGCTAACAATAATTAAAAGTGAAAAATGCAAAGGGCAGTAACTCCAAAATTATGCAAAATAGTTATATATGGTTCTAAAACACTGCACTCAAAAAGATCTATCCATTTATTAATACCTCCAATAGTTTTAAAGTTGTATGATTAAGACAAAAAATAAGCAAGAAAAAGTACAAAAGGGAAATAACCCCCAAATCATACAATAAAGAGTTATGGTTCTTAGGCATTGCACTTCTCATAAATGAGATCTACTTATATGTGGAGATTAGAATTATTGTCTCTAACATTTTTGTGTTATGCATTTCAGACAAAACTTACAAAAGGCAATAACTCCATTACTTTGCAGGAGAGTTACAGTATGTATTCTTAAGAAAAAAAAATGAATCATGTTATCAATATTAAATATATAAATGCTATTTGATAGAAATACAATAATGAAGCAATGTGCTTATACATTATACCCCACTGTGAAACTAAGTCATAGTATGCCCTTGAGGCTATTGTGCAAATAATGCCTGGTAATTTCTTATAACCAGGATAAGTAAATACTGCATCCATTAAGATTTAACACCACAGGCATACAAAACAGATCTGATAAAACTACTTCACTCTTATCTATGCATGACGGTTAATAGTTTATTCATGCTGACCAAAATGTTCCATTTGGTTACTTTAGTGGAGGCAACATTATACATTTTATGTGTTAAGAATCTGTGTTAAAATAACATGCTAATTTATCTTTCAAAAACATAATTCTACACTATTTATTTAGGTATTAAACATAGTTTATACATTCAAATGAATTTAAAAAAATAAAATGCTTTGGTTTTTGGATTATCCCTCAGTGTTTTAAATTATGATGGAACCTTCCAGTTATACAGTAACTGTTGTAAAGTTTGAATTCAAAGGAATTAAGGTCAGTATACACAAAGGAAATGATTGACATTGTAGCAATTCTGTAGATATTATTGTGTTTTAAATGTAAGGATGCATATTTTTAATTTCTCAAAGAAAACATTTAAAGTCTTACTAGTGTGGTAAATAGAAATGAGAAGAATCTGGAAATGATTTTAACTGAAGTGTGAATGTATATATTATAACATGGGACAAGAAGATAAACAGCAGAATCATTCCAAGTCAAAGTTTCAGGTAAACAACTTCAATTTACATACATTAAATTTAATGCAGAAACAGATGAGCTTTCTAAAAATCAAAACTTTCAAGTGGTATTGTATAAAAATTAGTTTTGTTATTCTTTCAACTTGACTAAAACAGAAATCTGCATGTACATACCGTATAAGTGGTTTTTTCTGCGGGCCCCAAATTCTGCGGTTTTTCAAATTTTGGCATGTTTTTATTTCTGCGGACTTTATTTCTGCGGCACATTCTTTGGACAAAACATGATTTAAATTCTGCGTCTCGTCTTATCAAAGTATAAGCTATTATATTTACATATATACGTTCGCATTTGTTTATTGTCGTCACCGCAAAACTGTATAGTAATTACAAACAATTATATTGTTTGCTTGCAAACAAATATAATGCGCAACAATAGAAAGGTATACATCTTTGATCAGCGTGAAGTAACGTGTGAAAAATATACCCCTGTAGTATGATCTTTAATTTAATAAAATTGATACAAGTTTACCTATCGTATTAGATGACATTATAAGTAAACAACGATTATTTAGCAGTGTAAGGGTTGGAATGGTTTGAAATATCTTTATTCTTAAATTGGCATAATTAACAATAAGTACATCCTTACAAACACACATTACATACTTAGCCGTCTGCAATTTTAAACAACTTGAAAACCCGCTAACCGTTAAAATCTGTTTGTCGTTATAACTTTAGACGAAACAGGTCAAAATGTAGGATACATATCGTAGCAGGTTAGAGAAATATTCTGCGGTTTTAATTTCTGCGGTGCCAAAACTCACCGCAGAAAACGCAGAAATAAAGTCACCGCAGAAAAAACCACTTATACGGTATAAAAATGTAGGAAGATCTTCATCATTTCTTAAATACAGTATGTTACATATTTTAAGTTTGAGGCAAAATGATAGAAATTGATAAGTAAGACAACTCAACACCATATTATGTATAATATTATATCAATTTAGATTATGAGATTACATTGCAGGCTTGGACCAGTACAGACTGTGAGTGTTTATGTGTGCAACAATTAACTACCGCAAAGCCCAGAAAGGTATGTTTTAAATTTCTAAACAATACCATTTACAATATAATTAAATATCCTAGAAAAAATATTTGAAATAAAATTCTTGTCAAATTAAGTAATTGTTAAGACTATCAATAAACATCACTGATGACTCAGTTTGAACATATTGTACAGTGAAATAAGATAATGAGTAGCTTTAATATTTTTGAATATGCAGCATTAGCATAAAAATTGTATATAATCTTTTGAGATATTATGAAATGCAATATTGTTGTATTTAATATCTAATACTGATCTCAATGTTTTTCTATCTTTTATAAATTAACTAATATTATACATGTATAATCAATGTATAATTTTGTCCTTAAAGGTGAACACAACCCTGTGACATTCCTGGTGTTAGAAACCAAAGCAAAGTGCTGGAACAGATGGACATGGTAAATAGAAATAGTAGTTTAAATAATCAGATTTTTTTGGATTTTATATCGGCAGTTTAACTAATTAGCTTGACTTTTTGAAGAATAAGGAAAGCTATCCTAGCCCCCCACTCCCTGAGGGTCGGTGATGGCTTAACCACTAAGTTTGCGGACAATAATATAATAATGCTCCTTTTCGACTTAGAATTTATGTTAAAGTTAAAGAACCACCACAGATATTTTCCAATTCCATTGACATTTGGCTTTGAGACTGTGCTCACTTGTTCACCATCATACCCCCACCTTCTCTTACTGCTGATCTTTGACTTCTTAGTGTGACCATGACCTTGCAGTTAGGGGTCTTAGTCTTGTGCATATTTTACCATTTCATCATGTTACACATTTGTGCCAAGTTATTTGAAAAACCCATAATGCAGGATAGAGTAATTAGCTTGAAATTATTTTTTTACACTTTGACCTGTAACTGTGACCTTGACCTTTGAACTAGGGTCTTGTCCAAGGGCATGACACAGCATCTCATCATGCTTCATATTTGTGCTAAGGTATCTTTAAATCCCTTGATGAATGACAAAGTTATGGGCTGGACAAGATTTCTAACCTTTGACCTTTATGTGTGACCTTGACCTTGAAGCTGTGATATTGGTCTTGAGCATGATCTAAACATGCTACAAATATTTTCTAAGCTATTTTAAAACCCCTTGATGCATGATACAGTTATTGACCAGACAAGGTTTTCGTACACACATAGACGCGCACTAATGGACACAGAAAGGGGTAATGCTATATGCCCCCTTACTATTATCATGGTGGGGGCATTATAAAATGCATGTCAGAAAATAGGCAAAATGTCAAGACCTGGCACCTTCAATGATAAGAGGAAAGTTGTTGTAATATTAAAATAGGGAAATGCATATTCAGCCATTTCACGTTAAGTTAAGCAAATGCACATACATAGCGTCACATGCTTGTGTAGCTTACAAATCATATATATTTTAACAAAAATGGGGTTTTCAGTTACTAGACGAATTTCTGAAACAAAAAACATACAGGCTTGTAAACATTATATTCGTAAAATCTTCATGCACTCCTCTTGAATCGTGCAAAATGCAGGAAAATTCCAGTCTCACTGCCACAGTCATCTAACAAACAGGTGATCTGTGCTACATTATTGCCCACACAATAACATTTTTGCACTTTTATTATCAAGTGTGCACATTGAAGCAAAAATTAGTACAGTTTAAACGCTGAAAAAATGTACTGTAAAAAAATCTTGGCACAGATATACTTGTCCCAAAAATCCACGTGAATTACGTTACCGTTTTAAATACACTGTCAAACTTATATTCAACTGCTTTATATTCACACAACTATAGCATGAGAACACATTAAGGTATCTATTACAACATAGGCAAACTGAATTTACTATTGGAAAATAGTATAATACATTGAGCTCCTTTCAAAACTGTGTCCCCGATACAACGGTGGTTTTGTGAATTACGTTACTGTTTGTATTTGCACAGACATACTTTGACAATATCCACTTACTACAGCCCTTATAAACCACTATATAATGATCTAAAGAAATGATTAAATCAAGTCATTTTTCTACGTGGATGGATAATATAAAACCCAAGAAACATTCGACTTGTGAATTACGTTACTGTGAATTACGTTACTATCATTTCCAGTACATCGCCAAAAATAAGTCCTAGGATCAAAATGAATGGGTGCGTTTTACCGGAACACCGCACTTGCTACACGGTGTTAATTTCAGGAAAGTTTCGAGGCGGGAAAATTTGTGTTTGTCAAAAATTTGAAAGAAAGTTTCGAGGTAGGTGACACATATTTTTTTATGAACAATTTCATTTTATAAATACTGTTTTACAAATATATTTTGCATCAGCTGCTTACCAGACATGTTGTTTATTTAAAAGATAATATGGTTGATTGCTATTGTTTACATATTCATGCTACACATGCTTTACCATATGGTAACGTAATTCACAGAGAAGTAACGTAATTCACAAACATTACATATCGTTTCAGGGCGATGGGTAAAAGCAGGGCGGGAACGCGTCCGAAAATGCATGCAAAGACTAAGACAAAAACAGAAGGAAGTCAACAATAATGAGCTTAGTCCTGCAGGAGAAAAAGATAATATAATACAGAATCAGGAATCGATAAACGATGATCAGTCACCAGGACCATGTGATTCAACCACAATGAACTTAATACCAAGTACATCATATAGAGAGCAAAATCAAAAAATGGTTGTTAACATGAAATTCGCCGAGAAAAGGGGAAGCTGGAAAAATAAACATTGTGTTAAGAAAGCAAACACAAAGATACAGGAACTAGAATCACGCCTTTCAGCATTTAAGAAACGAAACAACACCTTGCGCAAACGACTGCAAAGGGCTAATGCTCAATCTCAACAAACTCCAAAATCAAAAGAATTAAACGCTAACATAATCGTTAACTCAAGCTCCACAACAAAAACCGACAGAAAACGGAAACTTCCCGAGAATGAATTAAATACACCAATGACACCAAGAAGCAAGTCTGTTCATTTATTAAGAAGCGAAGGCCTAACACCAAAAAAGCACCCAAAACTCATAAAGCAGCTAACATTCCACAACAGTATCGTAGAAGAAGTGAAACGAAACATAGCTCCTAATCGCGGTAGAGCGAGGCAGCGTACGGCGCTGCAAATAGTATGTGGCAAAGTAATCAAAAGATATAGAATGACATCAAATTCAAGTAGAGCACTTGGAGTAAACAGGGGCCAAATCAATAAAGCGGGGACAGGGACATTAATTCAGAAACGTAGAAAGGCATTTCAAAAATTGCAAACGTCAGAAAATGTGAAACGCTTTTTAGAGCGCGATGACAACAGCACCTGCCTACCAGGAAAACGAGATAAACTGAAAACAAAGTCTGGTATGACTCAAACGAGAGTACTTAATGATTATCTCTACAATTTGCACCTGAAATTTAAGTCTGAAAATCTGCACATGAAAGTAGGATTCACCTCATTTTGTAGCTACAGACCAAAGCACGTAAAACTGGTGCAATTTAGTGCCCGAAGAACATGCCTATGTCAAAAACATCAAAATATGTCACTGAAGGTAAAAGGTTTAAAGTCAGTAGGCGTTTCGACAACTTAAAATCCAGATACACTGATAGCTAACAATTCAGGTGAAGAAATAATACAGAAATTAAGAGACTGTCCTTCAGACACAATTAAATATACACAATGGTAACGAAAAGAAGTTGAACATAAGGGACGAATGACTAAACGTATGATGATAGCAAATCTAGAAATGCCGAAAAATGAGTTTATAGATTTGTTTACGCACGATTTATCGGAATTTCAAAAGCACACAGCAAGAGTGAAAACCCAGTATGTTCAAATTACAGCATTGAAAGAAAAAATGCCACGAGATCACGTTCTCTGCCAAATGGACTTTGCCGAAAACTATTCATGTGGGCATGCTGATGAAATTCAAAATCTTATTTTGACAAATGTTCAGTCACACTTCACCCAGTGGTAGTTTATTTTAAAGATGCTGAGGGTAAAATTTGTCATACATCATATGTGTACGTTTCCGATACGCCGTCGCATAACTCTGGAACAGTTTATTCCTTTATGAAAAAAAATTGCGAGGAAGTAAAAGCTAATCGGCCAAATACAAATTACATTCATTACGTAACAGATTCACCCACATCACAATATAGGAATAAGAGTATCATGTACCTCGTGGCCAATCATGATAAAATATTTGGAATGAAAGCTTCTTGGCAGTACTGGGAAGCGGGGCATGGAAAGGGGCCCTGCGACGGGGTCGGCGGAACATCCAAGCGTTTAGCTGACTTAGCAGTAAAGCGACAAGTAGCGGTTATTCAGTCGGCAGAGGATTATTATCATTGGGGTGAAACAATAGATAAAAGTCAAATTAAGTACGTATTTGTACCGAAGATTGAATGCGACCAAGCACAACTGGAATTGTCCGCCTGGAATATTAAACCAATTAAGGGAGCATTAGAAATACATAGTGTTGTTCAGTTGAAGACCGCGGAGATTGCCATCAGAAACACATCATGCGTTTGCGAACATTGTTTTGCTGACGGACAATTTAAACCGACGTGTGAAGGCTGGCGCGTGCATAATATAAATCCATCTGAAGCAAACGAAATGGAAAACGTACCGGTTGTACAGCTTGCAAGACCAGAAGAGGCGCAAATTAAGACCCCGGCAACATTCTCGGTAGGTAGTTACGTAGCAGCAGTGTATGATGAAAACTGGTATTTAGGCAAAATAATTGAATACGACCCAGAAGATGAGAATTTGCAATATCACATTTTATTTATGGCTAACGGTAAGGGCAAAGTTGGGTAAACATTCAAGTGGCCGACTATCGATGACAAAGTATGGAGAGCTAAACATCACATTCTATGCACAGTTACCGAGCCTGCTCCACACGGTACACGGAAAATGTACAAGATACCGGAATGCGATATAAATACAATCGTAGACATGTTTAAAA